GGGCGGAGCGTTTTCCGCTTTGTACGTCCACATCCACACTGGTCGTGGAAGAAAGGGCACGTTGGGGGGTAAGGGGCCTGCCGGGGGGTAGGGGGGTCCGTGGTATGCGACACAGGGAAGGGGTGTCCGGGTAACGTGGCCAGGGCACTAACCATGTCGTAAAGGGCAGCGTCAAGTTCGTCTGGTGATCGTCTGGTGATGAAGGCTAGGGGGGCGAAGCGAGGAGCTGGTGGAAGTCAGCAAGCACCGGTCGGTCCACAACAAGACCATGACCAAAACGAAGCATCAAAACAACGGTCGGGGCCATCAATTCGCAAACCATTCCTTGGTGTAAACGTTCCAGCCGCTGCAAAGTGCCTTACATGTGTGTACTAAATAATGTCATTGGCGTATTTTCACGACCGGCAAGATCGGGTACCACGCCAGCACCACCAACAAGAGGGTACTTCGCTACCACGGTAACGTTATCCCTCAGCACAACCTTTCTTCTCTGTCTCTGTCTCTCCCAGAATCTCCCCCCCTCTCTCTCTGTCTCTCTCCCCCCCCCCCCCGATGCCACCTTGGCTTACCTTGCTCTTGTCCCCCTCGTCAACGTAGTTGATCTTGTGCCCGTCGTACTCCCACGACAGGTACCCTTCCTCCCGCCAGGGGATGCGCTCCAAGCCTTCCATCGCCGAGGAAACCCGCGGTGTCGCCGCCGCCTCCCCTCCCTCCACCGCACCTGCCGCTATCGCTTCGCCGGAGGCCGGCTGCGGAGAAGCTAGCAACGCTCGTGCCCCCACGGCCGCCCCGCCCCCTGCCGTGAGAGCCGACCTCCAGACGGAATCGATCGCCTCCGCTCGAGTGGACGCTTCGCACTGCCGTTGCTGCTGCTGCCATGACTTGCTGCCCACATCTTCGGGAGAGGCGGCCCACGTCCGGGGCGGGCATGACGATGCCCACGTCGAGCGGATGGAAGTGCGGGGGAACCTGTGCCGGTTTGTGGTTTGGCAGAGACGCGAGGAGGGCGCCAAAGAATGTTGGAGGGGTCACATACGCACGGCACTCGGAAGTTTATCATGGGCTTGTATGTCGTCAGAGATAAATTATTCGAGTTAGTTCCATAGGGAAAAAAGAAAGAAAGAAGAGAATGATATGAACACGTGTGCATGGTCCGCAAAGAAAGCAGCAAGAGGGCAACCGATACGGAATCGAAGCAAAACACCACATCGACGGCGGGTCGAAAATAAACCCCCTTCGACCAGCAGCTGCTCGTTCGGTCTGTCAGGGAGAGGGAGCGGAGGCGCCAGATGATGCTGGACAACGTGTCACAGCAGTGATTTCGAAGGCGGAACTAAAGGGGTTATCCTCAGGGAGGCAACCTTGCCACACCACGAGGTCCTGGTGGCGAAGGGTGGGTATATATATACCCTTTTCCGAGAGAGAGAGAGAGAGAGAGAGAGAGAGAGAGAGAGAGAGAGAGAGAGAGAGAGAGAGAGAGAGAGAGAGAGAGAGAGAAGGTTGGGGTAGAGTGGGTGGCGGCGGGATGGGGGGGGGGAGAGACAAAACAGACAAACCTAGAGAAAAGTCGGGGTGACTACTGCTGTAGGGTTCGGGCTGGGACCTCGCGTGGCCGAAGCTTCCAAGAAAACCGTTCGTCATCACCACACCCCACTAGTAGCTACTACTGTCTTTTCGTGACTTCGCTCCGTCCAGAGAGAATACAGTGGTAGCAGGGAGCCAGACTGAGAATCTTTCACAAGGGGGGGGGTGCAGTAACGGTAACGTCGTGGGTAGGAACGTGCACATCAACCAAACGTGATCTCGTGATGACGCACCGTAGACATCAGACTAAAAAGGGTGTCGCCGGCAGCAGCGATAAATTATCCCTAAATCCAAGTCGTATTTTCTGGCTACGATTCAGACTGTTGAAGTAGGTCTGTCAGGAACTGAACGAAGGGTCTACTGCTGTAGGATTCTGACTGTTGCAGTAGTCAGTCGGAAACTGAACGAGATCTCTCATACAATAGCGCCGAAATTAATTGGCCCCGTCGGCTCGCCGAGCATGGCGCGAAGCCTCTAACTGCTGTGCTGCTGCTGCTTTTTCGTTCCGACCTCTGCCCCGTCCCTTGTAGCATCCGTATTGCTCCAACCGACACAGAGGTCATGTCTCTGATGCACGCTTAGGATCCTTGGTCTTGCGTGCATTGCGGGATAAGAGTCACATCTCTCAACCACGACAGCAGTAGAGGAATTGTTTGTGTACAACAGTCTGGGTTCTTCAGGTGTCACCATCTGCCGGTCATGCAACGAAAGTGAGGAAGCAAAACCATGCGAAAACATGTTGCACGCACGTCAAGCCGCACGCTTGTCCAGCAGAACAAGTCTGCCGCCGGCACTCACCAGCAACAACCTGAGGATGCGCTGCGGATCATTGCTGTGTGGAAAGAAAAAGAAAAAAAGCATGTTGACGTCAGCACTTGGACTACGGCAGCAGAGCAACTGTTTCCACATCCCCGCCTTAGTAGCAAAAGGCCCCCGGCAAGCACTCACCCTCCTGTAGATGTAAGCAGGGCTTCAAAAGGGGTAAGCAAAGAACCCAGAAGCAGCAAGCTATGCACCCGTGTCGTACCCATGGTCAGTTAGCTGTGCGTCTGAGACGGCAGTACTACGGGGGGGGCACAGGGGACAAAAATGCGGCATGACCACAACGTTCTTTGTACTTTGTACCCTTTCGGTCATGCGGTATTTCCGCCGCCTGGAGGTCTTGCTTCTCAGCTTCTCAGATGGGGGACGGGAGCAAATCCGAATCCACATCCGTGGAGATCCGTGCGCGTGAGCAGCCTCTCTCTCGCTCTCTTTCTCCCGTCGATCGAACCACAGGATTCTAGCAGAGATTGGGAGGAGCACCAAGCCACAACTAATGCCTAAACGTGCGAGAATGGTGCCCGCGTCGGCGATACCGGCGATTGCCATAGGATTTGGATTTCGAGGGATTTTCTGCTGCACCCAAGGTCAGATAGATCCCAACACCGGCTCGATGCATGCACACGTGACCTGGGCCCTTGGAAAGACGAGAGACCCCGCCCCGCTGTGCATCGGTGACAACACCAGACTCAAGCCCGTCGCAAAAATTTCATCTACGACAGCAAATGGTGCAGTCCGATAACGGCAGTACCATGTGACGGCAGAGTACTGTAGCCCGCTGCAGATACGATGGAGGAACACCAACTCGGAGTATTGATAGTTAACGACAACAAATACACAGATAAACCGAATGTGTCAATCTTATTCCATCGTTTGTGCAAACAGAAAGAGAAAGATCCGACACGCTTGCCGAATGGCACGCGATAGTTTTGAAGGTGGCCGGGTGCGTTTGTTTGCGGAATCTACTGTAGACCGAGCGTGCACGTGTTCCGTACCTGCGTTGCAGCAGCAACTGTATCAGCAACGACAACGGCGGACTTCGTTTACGTCGACTTCAACTCGACGCACGGCTTGACGTTCGCGGGAGCGTCCGGCACAACTGCGTGCGCCAACATCACGAAGCTCGAGTACGGCAACGTCCACGGCGATGCCGATCAGCTGCAAGGCTCGCTAGACACCGTCACGAGAGAGGTCGGGGAGGAGGTCGTCATGACGGACGTCAGGACTAGCGAGCTAGGAGAACACAGCCGCATCACACCTGTACAGGTACGTGCCGCCAGCAGTGACTATTGTCGCAGAGAGAAACCATGTACAGCGGCAACCCACCCACCCGCGAACAACCTATGTGTCGTTTCCCATCAACCGCTACATCTGTACGTGCATCGCACAGCTGTAATTGCTACCACATAGTAACGTGTAACAAGCACATAACAGCCTCGTCGGCCTCGGCCACTGGATATTTGTTGAGACTGAGGCTATCGCTTCATTGAGACGACCTGACCTCCTTCATGTTTGTTGTGTATTGGTGACAAGATATACCATGATCCTCGTGGTAGTATCGATAGCCACATGTTTGCCCTGTTGATCGCCCGAGGACCTTCGTCAGCCCCGTCCGTCACGGTGACGAATACCGACACCTTGTTCCGTGCAAGCACAGGCGCGCAATATTGAAATCATCCAAAACCTGATGGTCCCTGTTGGAAGGTGGTCATGTTCATCTAGAAACTCTGCTTCCCAGGAAGCGACCCCGCTTGCATATTGTCCATTCACTCACCTCTGTAGTATCTCTAAATAGTCGCCCTCCGACTGTTGCAACACCAGCCCGCTCCCTTTGTACGTGTCACTTTTCACGTCGTGCAGGCGGGCTTTGGCAACCGTGAGGCCGTGCAGCAATCCCCGGACGCGGGAGGCAGCCGCTGTCGCGTAAGGTCTCGCCTCACGCCGTCCTTGCCGTCCAAGGCAGGGGCGATGTGGTACTCGCTGCCCGTGCCCGTAACGCGAGGCTTTGAGACCCTCTTCACCTTTCAGGTCCTGTCTACTACCTTTTGTCACCCCCTGCGGTCGGTCCTGTGGGAACAACGCTCCGTCGTCTCGAAGTGATGAATCGTCTAACCGCGAAGGCATGCAAAACATTAGAGTACGCCTCCCGCCCCTCGCCCCCCGGACCCCCTGTCTGTTTCCGGCAAACAACATCTACCCAGTCTATCACGCGGTAGAAGGTCGATAGGGATAACTCCTGTGACTGGGCGCCCGCCCCTAGAACTGCTCAGTTTATTTCTGGTCGCTTCCCCAATGCTTGCGCCGTGTCCCGTCCCGTCCTTTTCTAAACTGCCGCCGCTACTGCGTTAGACGGCTGCTGCTGTCCTTCCGTTGCTTCACGCGCTCTGTAGCTCTCACATGTTACCCGACTTTGCTACAGCCCCTGCGTGGACTCGATCACGGAATGACACCCCCAACTAAAGACTAATAATTCCAAACACCGTGACCCTGGGTTTCCGATAGAAAAATGAAGCCAAATTTTAATTCGACTGTTACAAAATAAACACCAGTATATTCTATCTGCTCGACGAACAAACCTTCCTGATTTTGCAGCAGGCCTATTGTGGGAAACATGGGGTTGCTGCGCGAGCAAACGCGGGGAGTAGATGCTCTATCTACATGTCTACACCAAACCCCCTTGCCCCCACGCTCAACCCCCTCGCCTCACGGGGACTAATTTCTGGCAAGACATGAACATGCCTAAAACCAAACAACAACGTGAAGCGTATTTTTCCAAAAACACTCCGCGTCCGGCCACAGATAACTGATCACAGCCGAATGTGCACGGAGCACACCGACCCGCTCTTCAGCCGGCGTCTGCACTCGACCTGCAGCGTTCGAGGAGGGGATGGCCTCGCGTTTGTGGTGCACCGCGACCCCGCGGAGGCCGAGGCGGTGGGGGGGGCGGGGGCCGACATGGGGTACGGAGGGCTGAGGGACTCCCTGGCGGTGAGCGTCGCTCAGCTGCTGTTGTACGGGGCTAGATCCGAGGTTAACGAAGTTGTTGATCGTTCGAGGGAGGGAGTGTTTTGGTTGGGTATAGCCGTGTTTTTGTTTTTTTGGAATACCCGGCACTCTGTTCTGGTCTGCGGGGACTCTGGGGGGGGGGGGGGTGTACTCATAGTCGTGCATGCCGTAGTCGTTAGACCATTGACCTCGCATCCCTACAAAGCCGGGACGGAGCACGCCGGGTTCGGGGGGGTACGTGGGTATGTGGTATAAGAGACGGGGCTCCCCGAAGGGCAACACGTCCCCTCTTCCTATCTCCATCTATCTAGTCATGCCAAGATCCTGGATTCAACACTTTTCTCCGCACTTTTCTGGTACAACATTTCAGAGGAAAATACGGCAGACAGACAGATTAACATGCTGACGAATGAGTTACGTAAAGTGGTGTCGCCAGCTGTCTCCGTGTTTACATGTAGAGCGAGAACGTGGTGGACAACACCCTGTCTCGATAGGGAATCGTCGGCATCAGTGCCCAAAATCCTCCTAGGGCAAGCAAGGGCTAAGGACCACGACACACCTCTCCCGCCCCCGCTTCACCGATTTTCAGGTGGAGCTCGATCACCGCTACAACCCGGGGGCCGACAGCGGCGACCTGGTCTACGACCACGTCGGGGTGCACTCGGGCGGACCAGGCGGCGACAACTCCGCGCTGACGTCGGCAGAGCTAGCCCCACCCGTGGCGTGGGATCTAGCCGACGGCGAGCACCACTTGGTCAAGGTAGTGTTTTGTATCTCGGTAGACTTGTCAGGGTATCCCCGTAGGCTTTTTCGAGGCATCTCCGTAGTTTTGCATACCTAGGGGAGAGAAGTCTGGCGCGGCTTCATCGTACTCATGCAGATGTGTGTTCAGGCCGTCGACTTCACTCTATCTCGGCGGGGCCTGCTTTCAGGTCGCCATCCGAAGCATCGACGAAAGAAATGCTTGACGTTAGCACTCCTACAAAGCACAATATTTCCCGCCGTTTCTTCTCCGTTTCTCCAGTGTCTAGCCCACGCGATGGTTATGTTGTACTGTCATCTGGCTTTTTGTTTCCCCGCCCCGTCTTCGAGAGAGAGAAAAAAAACGGGAGAGCGCACCATATGCGTGTGCCTCACACAACACCAACGACCACACGCGTTATCACACCACACACCCTTGACCAACATTGACGCCAGCGCAGGGGTGTCCCATGGTTTTTCCACACTAAGGGCCCCTTGCAACCCAAACAATCACGCACGGGTTCATCATCCCCCCCTGTCTATTTTTCATCTTCCCCGCTGCTGCTGCTGCTGCTTGTAATGACACTGGTGTCGAAAAAGGTCAAGTACTTCCCACGGGTGGCCACCGAGTACCTCAACCACTTCGCCGCAACGTCGAAGCTGGTTCCTTTTCTCAAGGTGCGAGCTAGACACCATCGGGGTAGCTGAAACGCCACACAGGCTGGAACACACACAACCAGCGCTTCTTCACAACAGACCAACGGCAGGACACTTTTTATTTCTGTTTCGCACAATCCAACTGGCTATCGAATTGTTTTGTTTTCCCAGCCTGACTTAATCGGGGAGATGCCGTTTTGTTACGGGTGGCTTGGTGCAGGACAACGGAGAGGGGCGGCGGCTAGGTACCCTGGTGGTGTGGCTGGACGACGGCATCGCGAGCGACGAGCCGCTCTTAGCGGTGCCGCTGAACCTCAGCGTCCTGCTGGATCTACCGCAAGATCAGGCGAGCCACAGCTAGCTGTAGCAACTGTATTTCGTTTTTCGTGCAGATACTGCCGTGTTAGTGTTGTTGTGCTGTGGCCGCGTTGCCGTACAAGCTTGGTACTCTACATGTGAAAGAACCAATAATGTCTTGTTGTCGACAGTCCTGCAAGTGGAGAGCTTATCCGTTTTGTACAGGCCTTTATCTTGCGTTTATTTCGGGTGCTTCGTCTCACAGAGGCCGAGGGGTCACGCGGAAGGCCTCCTCTCCCTTAGCCCCCCCCCCCCACTATAACTAGCTCCCTGTTCCGTGCATGCTTGAAAACAGCCCCCAGAAGGGTTCAGTAACCCTTTTTCCCTCGTCAACAAACAGTCGAAGTTAGTGTAGGCCACTCACGAAAAAGCACAAGCAGATTGAACCGGAACCCCGCCACCCCAAAATCCAATTCGACCCATGCATGGCTGTAGTAGTCTGTTAATTCGGCGGGCCGATCTATCTTCTTATCTACCCTATGGTATCACTTTCCATCTCCTGAACCCCCTCAACCTCGTATCCAGCTAGCTATTTGCGGTTCTTCTCCCGTCTCTCTCACTCTTCATTGTAGCCCTCCACTTCCCCCGCGAGCTCTCGGGGGGGGGGGGGTAGTCGATGGAGATGTGTAATTTTTGTACCAGACGTTTTTGTCTTGATCAACGCCTGGTGCAATACTGTATGTGGTCGTCGTGTCTGGTGGTCAGGCCTACGTCGGTTTCACGGCGGGCACCGGGAGATCTTGGGCAAAGCACGACGTGCTTTCGTGGTACTGGTGCCACAACGACGGGGGGGACGGGCTGCTGCAGAGAGGTGATGACAGTTCTTTTGTAAGTATGAGTCAGTCAACAGCAACTCCAAGGGTCCAAGCCGCGCTTCAACGGATACACACGTAGTCGACAATGACAACGTGTTTTCTAGGAGTATCTCGAAACCCTCCGAGGTAATTGGGAGAAAATCATGTCGAGACGAGAGAGGCTGCCTGCTCCAAATATGTATCCACAAAACCGACTTGCCCAATCAGACGACGTTGGGCCCCTTTACGTCAACAACGCGTTGATACATTAGTCGCTGCCGAAACCACAGCATCATGTAATAAGAAATACAGGACAAAATCACAACATTATCGAAAAAAATACACACACAAAAAGACTACCCGTTCGAGATATACCCACAGTCGAACGGGATGTGATGGGCATTGCAGGTGGCGGAGGCGGCGGAACCAACGACGATTCGGAGGGCGAATCCTGGGACGGATGCGGGGAGACTGCGGGCTTTTCGGCCTTCAGCTACGGCCAGTCGAGCGAGTACCACTCGGACTCGAGACTGACCCAGCACGAAGCACAACTGCTGGGAGGCGGCTACGGAGGGGGTGGGGCGGGGGACGAGGCAACCACTGTCGTGGCAGCGTCTAAAGGCTACTGGGCCGGGGGGGAGTGGGTAGGAGGGGACAGGGGACAGCAGGTTCCTCCCGCCACCGAAAACTGAGAAGTATGTATATCGAGACAGGAAGAATGTTAATCGGTGTACAGCAGCAGTGGCAGGTGCATAGCTGAATTCTTATCTAGATTTCCTTTACCCTACCCGTACCAAGAGTCGGGCGCGCAGATGTATTGGTGTGTGCATAGCCGCGATACATTCATTTTTGTCCTTCTATCTTCTCACCAATGTTCGGGCACGCCCTCGATTTATTAGTCTCACGTTGGACTGGAATGAATATTCTCGCTGGAGCGAAAAAAACTTTGCAAATTGCGATGGAAAACCGTTTGTTCGTGAGAAACACTTCGACTTCACGGTCTCGACCACGGAAAGAGACCGGAGCCCTTCTCGCGAAAAAAGCAACAGGTAGTCGATACCACATATACATATATACAGAAAAATTATATTCCTTTTTTTTTACCCTCCTGTCACCCCGGCTAAGACGTCAAGCACACAAACAAACGAGCTTTGGAGTCAGTTTTTTGGTTTTGCTATTCATACGAAAACAAGAGGGAACCCATCATCCATCTTCGTTTCCAAATATTCGAGGGTAAAATGACCGCGCCCATCTTACCATCGAAGGACGTCTCAACTGTTGCCATTCCGCTCGTCGCTTTCGGTGAAGAACCTTCCAGTACTACTGGGGATGGTGGTGCACCCGACACACACACCGACACGGCGGGCCTAGCCTCCCATCTCACGGGGTCCCCGATCGTGGCCTTTGAAAACAATTTCTGTTTTACAGTCACACTGAGTGAGACAGACGCCTGTTCATTTTTTTGCAGTTGGCTAGCGCGGTGAATGCAAATAATGACGCAACACACACGGGGTCCCAGATCACGGCGTTCACAAGCGATTTCAGGCTCTAGCCGGCGCAACTGACGATGAATTGGTCATTGGTCGTCCGGTTGGATGGAGCGGTCGATGCTAACGACAGACAAACGCACACATATATATCTTGGGAAGCAGCGTTTTTTCCATTGTTAGCCGCCGCATCAAGCTGGCATCTCAGTTCATTGGCTAGTCGGTTTGTGCGGACGATACTACATGTATGTGATCATCATCCGGTGCATTGAATTCCTTTTATGTCGCGATGCATCGACCACATCCATCCGAATGTGTCCGTGCCGAACGTCGGGCTCCTCCGATGCTGCACTGGTAGTGGTTCTCTAATTGACGCTCACGCAGTTGCTCTACGCCCAGCTCTCCGCATGACTTCATGCCACGGTACATAGCACATTCCACAGGCTAGGCTCGATCCTTCCCCCGCTGTAGCGCGGAGGTTGAGGGCCATGAAAATACACGGGGCTCTCTAGACATACACGTGGCACCCACTTCTGGCAGCAACACACACGGAATAGATAGGCCTGGCCTTACGCAACACAAACTTCAAGTCCACCCTGGGTACCATTTCCAACCTCGCGGAGGTGCCGTGCTATGTAGCCGAGCTATACACAAATACATGAGGAAACACGCACCGAACAACAAACGGCGCTTGAGATAGATCTTTTCCGGATAAGCGTTCAAGCAAGAGTCAAACGGAGGCTGAAGGCGGCGGTGGCGGCACATGCAGGAGGCAAGCGTAAATTCTCCAACACACACACAAAACACACCGCTCTGCCTCCCCTTCTCCTGGGTGCCGCGCACGGAGACCAAGCAACAAACAGACGAGCCAGAACTGCAACGAGGAAGTAAGCATACTTCACAAATAAAAGAAGACAAACCAATCAATCAATCAATCAACATCTTGTGGGCGGGCGGGCGCCTACTACCAGGACACACGACACGCACACGCGGCAAGGGAAACAGACAAAAGACATGCACCACTTTGTGAAAAAAACGTTACAACCCCCCCGGAAAAACTACCCTCTCTCTCTCTTACATATGAACAGACACAAACGCACCGGGCGTTAGGTGCCGGGAAAAGCATCAATTATGGATACGCAGTTACCCCGTTCCATGAGTACGACCCCCCCCCCCCGGGTCACGCAAGCAGTTAAATTACCCCCAAAAACCCCCCCACACGCAATTTTGGTTCGAGCTGTCTTGTCCCGACAACATTTCGTGGGGATTGGAATGGATCGTGGCTCCCATAATAATTGCTCCCTTCGTCGCTTTCTCTCTTCTACCGCCCCGCCCAAAAAAGCTCGGACAACGGAACGAGCGGACCGCCCAAAAAACTGCGGAAATCAAAACGCCGCTGCTACCAACAAAATTTCGCTACTGCGGCGGGTTCGGCCGACAAGGCAGGGCGATTGGCGACGGTTCGGCCTCAAGAAGGGAGGCAAACAAGCGAGGCGGTCCCCCAATACGATAGGCAACGAACACTACCCGACTACCGGACTCCTTCTACTGCTCCACCGCTCCCGCGGCGCACATGTCCGGGACCCACGGCGTTACCGCAAAAGGACAACAATTAATCCCACGACACCGCACCGACCAAGGGGAGATAGACGCAACCGTTGCTGAAACCCCGTAGCCAAACTGTTTTCCTCCCTATTTTCCTTCCGTCACCCCCCCCAACTCCCCGATCTTTAAAACAAACCAGCGGCGACGAAGCACAAACACACACTGGTTGGGGCATACAGCGCCTCGCCTCGCAAGTCATCGTCCCGTTCAGATCACGCCGCCGTACGCAACCTATCCTCCACCAGACAACCCAGACATAATGTCCGGGGAGGAAGACAAACAATAGGCCACGGGCCGCCACATCATGGGCCGCCACATGGCCAAAAAAGCGCGCTTGCTTGTGGTCCTATCTCTAGCTTACAAGAGCCCCGTTCTGGTATTCGTTAAACTCTGCTTCTCGTGTTGCTACCACATGTCTCTCTCATGCCTAACCCCCACCACCGAGTCAATCCATCCGCCCCGGTAACTCGCTCCCCCGCGCCTCTCTTAACTTATAGTCGCGCGCTGCTCTAAAAAGCGGCTTCCGGGCACTCGCTCCCCCGCGCCTCGCTTAACTTATAGTCGCGCACTGCTCTAAAAAGCGGCTTCCGGGCACTCGCTCCCCCGCGCCTCGCTTAACTTATAGTCGCGCGCTGCTCTAAAAAGCGGCTTGCGGGCGCTTGCTCCCGCGTTTCTCGAGGCATACCACGACTCCGCATCACCGAGACATGACACACGACGACTCTCTACAGTATCACCGAGACACGACCAAAGAACAACGACACATACACAACCAACACGGAGAACAGACTTATTTCGCTTCGATCTCCCTTCCCCCGCCCCCCCCAATGCAACGCAGCCAGCACAAGCACAACCGTTAGTTTCGTCAAAAAACAAAAAAAGAAGCAAAAAAAACATGTCATGTGGTGATATTCACGTGTTCCACTTTTTATTTCTTTCCGTCCAAATCACGGGAAGGAGGTCGTGGAAGGGATCGCCGAGGCCCATTCGCGGACGGGCTCGGCGTTCTTCTTTTTCGCATCAGCGTTCGCTGTCGCGCCGCCCCCTCTCTCCCTCGCCAGCAGCGACGCCTTAGCGTTGGCTGCCGAAGTTCCCTGGTTACCGCCGCCGCCGCCGCCGCCGCCGCCGCCGCCGCCGCCACCACCGGAAGAATCGTTCTCGCCTCCGTTGGGTTTCCAACCAGCCACAGGCCTCCGACTTCGGTCGCCCGGAACGGTGGCAAATGCACCGCTTCCGCCGCCAACGCCACTACCGTCATGGTGCTGGTTATGCCGGCGGTGCTGATGTTGCTGCTGCTGCTGCTGCTGCTGCTGCTGCTGCTGCTGCTGCTGCTGCTCACTCCCGCCCCCCCCCGTAGACCTCGCGCCGCTCGCCGCCGCCGTCGCCCCGCCGCCGCGGCCCTCCTTCGCTGCCAACGGCGACGAGGACGTCGGTGCAGTCGACCCCGCTCGCCTGGCGGCCGTAGCAGCGGCGGCGGCGGCGGGAGTCCCGCCACCGGCTGCCTCGCTCCCCCAGCCGCCTTCAAGCCACGGGTGCGAAAGCGCCTGCTCCACGCTCATGCGGCGGGAAGGGTTAGGGACGAGCAGCGACACGAGGAGGTCCCTCGCCGCCGGCGGGATCATTGGTGGGAAGAGCCACGCCGGGGGCACCGGGGGGGGGGTGGCGGAGGTTCTCAGCACGGAGGACCCGTGCGGTGGCTTGTGTTTTTGGGCCGGGTTGGTGGGGCACGGCGACGGTGGTACGGGCGACGGTATGGGCGACGCCGACGCTTGCTGCGGTAACGCCGCTTCCGATGCAACTCCCGATGATGACGGTGGCGTCGCCGAGGAGGAGGAAGAGGAGGACGAGGAGGACGAACCACGGGGTAACGCTGTTGTTGTTGTTGTTGCTGCTGCTGTGTGCTGCGAGGACCCGATCCTGTGCTTCTCCACCCAGATCTTGAAACGTTTGTACCTGTGGTGCCGCAGCAGCAAGGACGAAAAGAGTCACGATGTGAACGAAAGAAAACAACAGTAACAAAGGTACATAAGAATTCGGCCATCCGGTGCATTCGTGACATGTCGCACGGCACGATAACGCGCGGCACAAAGTTCGTAGCAAAAGCCCGCCACCAGAGTTGGGCAACACACGAGGAGGAGGAGGAGCGGCGACGGATGGGAAAGCGGCGCGCACCGAAACTCTCGCGAGACAGAGAGAGCTAGCCATTGTAGATACCTGCCTGGCTTCGAAACCCCGCCGCGAAGAGCGCGAGGCACAACCCGTACACCGGTTAGCGCGGTCGATGGAAACATCCAAGCGACACACACGCTCAACACACACTTGAAACATAATTGGTCATCGTTGACGGGGACCCACCTGGGGCACCGCGAGAGGTCTCTATCGAAGGGCAGGCTCTGGGTCAGCATGGTGTACAACACCACGCCGCAGCTCCACGCGTCCGCCTTGAAACCGTCGTACCCCTACAAAAACGCGACGCCGCAGCAGTGACGAAAACCACGAACAACATCAAACAAAACACTGAGCATAAAACACGGTGGTAGTACATAAAGAGACGACAGTGACGATCGCGGTCTTGGCGACACGTTCAATGTATCCACGGAGATGTTCAGTTACGGTGAGTGAACACGGGGGCCGACAGACAGGTAAAATTTCATCCTGGTTGTCAGCGGCCCTTTTGGTGGATACAGACATATTCTTTCAACGATATCGTACCGTACAAAACAAGGCGGGGGGGGGGGGGACACGGGCGGCCAGCAAGGAGAGGGAAGGCAGAACCGGGTGCTGCTAGACTGCTAGGCGTACAACCACCAGGTATTCGATCCAGCCACCGCAAACAAAACAGCACCGACACAAATACGCGAGAACGAGGAAGAAAGCAAGCACTTGCGGAAACAGCAGGGACGAAAACAAGCCTGCGCCGCTACACACATAGTTTCAGACAAAGGTAACGCGAGAGGAAAATCGGCAGAGAACAACGAGTCGCATGACCGGGCGAAGTGCGACGGGGCTGATGAGCGAGAGGTGAGAGCGGCTACGAGTAGATCAGTCCCACGACGACCTCCTTATGCGTCAGTAACGGGGAGTCGATTCCGTGCAAATACGTACCTGGTACGTGATTCAGAAATTGACCACCATAAGCCGACGCAAGCTAAAATACACATAAATGGTGTGTCTGTGTTCGTCCCATTTTCTCCTGGCGCCAGTCTGTACACAACCTTTCGAGGTACACTCCACCTTTGACGTATCAGTCGGGGGTAGCACAGAATTATCTTTCACTATTCTCGGACCAAAGTCCTGCAGCCCCCAAGATCATGGTGGACACCACGATGAACAGATGGGAGGCTTTGACGTATCAGTCGGGGGTAGCACAGAATTCTCTTTCATTACTCTCGGACCAAAGTCCTGCAGCCCCCAAGATCATGGTGGACACCACGATGAACAGATGGGAGGCACACACCTTAGAGTTCCCGGTGGTAACCTCGGGAGCCATGTAGTAAGGGCTGCCCACGACGGATCTCACACGCTGCGGGAGGCCCCGGCGTTCTGGTGTCGAGCCCGAACGGTAACATGAACACGAAAAAAACAAAAATGAGTGTTTTCGGTTAGATACATGTACTACCGCCGGCAGCACAAGCAATTACCTCGCCTTCATCGGAAAGTACAAGTACACGTGACAACAGCGTTCGCCTTGAAATTTACCCTGGGAATAAAACGCACTTCCATCCCACACCGGGAACACCACTCCTTCTCGTGTCCTCGTTCGATGCACAAGTTCGACACGCTGCTGTGCTACGTAGACAAGCGTATTTGAAACATGCCCGAGAAGATGCCTCACTCATAATTTTGCGAATCGTCATACACACGAACCTTTTGATCGAGCGCCCTGGTTCTCGTTTCCAGTCGACGAAAAGGCCCCGCCGCAGCACGCCGACAGCCCGAAATCGGCCACCTTTAGCTCCGGCGGCGCGTCTCCCTGTGGCGACTCCGCCAGCAGCAAATTTGACGGCGACAAGTCCCTGCCAGACAATCGGAATGGAACCACGCCACACACACGGAAGGAAACGGGATGTCAAAACCAGGACATGGGATGTCAAAACCCGGACATGTGAGACGTTCGCCAAAGCGTCAACAGACAGCTGCAAGGGACCACGCCACACACACACCAAAGGAAACAGGAAACCAAAGTCAGGAAACAAAAAATGAGACGCTGGCCAAAGCGGCAACAGTCAGAGGCAGTAGACGACGGCAATCGAAAAGGAATCACGCTACACGCTCAAGGATGTCAAAGTCAGGACATTTGAGACACTGGACAAAGGCACTACGCCAATAGACACACCAAAGCAAACAGGACGTCAGTCAAAGTCAGGAAACAACACACGAGACGCTCGCCAAAGTAACCACCCGACATGAACACCAAAAGGAAACAGGGTGTCAAAGTCAGGACGTATGAGACGCTCTCCAAAAGCAGCAACAGACAGCGGTGTAGCAAATGCTGAGAGCCTTGCCATGCGGCGGAGGAGGTACAACAAGAGAGCCGTGCAAGAAACGTGCAGCGGTTGTGGCAGTGCTGGCCGACCGCCATCGTACGATGCCCCCCAGTCCCAACGCAATGACGTCCTACGGGTAACCCAACGCACACAACCAAGAGGTACGCAGAAAGATGGCACTTCATTCGAGATAACAATGGATCGTCGTCGCAAGCCTGGTTGATTTCCTGGTTGATTTCCTACGGAACGCAGTCTCTTGGTTGGTGGAAGGTCCACCAGTTATTCATTTCCAGCGCTCCAAGCGAAATAATTAACGTGACCACCCCGGGGGTTCCATCAGAAAAGCGGCATGCATGCATGCACGCACGCGAAACGTTGCTCATGTGGCGCATTCAAGCGAACAGAGCATTAAGGCCTCGGCGTACACCGCTCCGAGGGGGGTAGAGGGCGCTGCCCTCTTCTGGCGTTAAAAACCGAAGGCAAGCGCTACAGGAAGGATGGGGAGGGTGAGTAACCCTTCTGTGTGGCCACGGACTGGAGCAAACGGCAAAAATGCTGTGAGCGCTCATGAACAAAAACCAGCTTGGCTGCGAGAACACGCCGGATCACACACACACACCTGTGGCAGACCCCACGTCGGTGGCAGTAGGCCAGCCCGGACAGCAACTGGGAGAAGTATCTCTGCGCCGCGCCCGCCGCCCGCAGCGCCGACGCGGCCTTCGCCCTCGAGCCGGCCACCCGGCTTCCCTCCTCGCCCGCCAGCCTAATGTGGTCCAGCAGCTCGCCCCCCGTGACGAGCTCCAGGATGAGGAAGAGCGTGCTCTTGGAGTCCTGGAGGAGCTCGAGCACCGACAGCAGCTGGAGGACGTTGCTGTGGCCCCCGACCCTGCCCATGTTGTTGATCTCCCGCTTCACCTTCCGGCGCTGGGCGAGCCACTGCACGTACTTGGGGGGCAGCCACGGGATCGACACCCCCATGCCGTCCACCTGGACTTCGAACGCTCCCCGCCCGCCGCTGCCGCCGGACAACCCCCCTCCCGGCGAATCACCGCCTCCGTCCATGTCGAAACCCCCTCCCCCCATCATGCCGTTCTCGTTCCAGCAGTCGTGATGAGAAAACTCGGCGTTCGGAGAGCGGCACGCGGAGGACGATGCGGTGGCGGCGGCGGCGGCGGCGGGGGGAGAGGACGGGGGAGCATCCGTCCTGGGGTTAAGCCCCCAGATCTCGATGCACTTGGGCAGCGGGAGCTCTACCAGGCTCCCGTACCTCGGGTCCATGTACGCCGCCAGCACCTGCTTAGTGTTGGGGCTCACCAGCCACCACACGTGCTCCGGCCCGAGCTTGGACGGCTGCCTGCTGGCTCCCGCTCCCCCGCCGCCGCTTCCGGGTGACCCCGGTCCTGCGGAAACCACGGCAGCAGCTCCCCCCGCCCCTCCGCATGAGTGGCCGCTGCTACTACCCTCGGAGGCGGCGGCGGCGGCGGCGCCCGCCCCGCTGCTGCTGCTGCTGCCCCCGACCTGCTGGCCACGCCTCGCCACGATGCAGCGGCGGAGCGTAACCGCGGGCGCCAGGCGGAAGCCGACCGGGTTTAGGATCTTGATCGCCACGGGTCTGATCTGAGACTTGTCGGACAAGTCGGTTCCCTGTTGTGTCACAACGCCCCCAGGCAACGGGCGCGGAACGTTGTGTCAAAAGGTGATTTCATCTGAACAGACTTCGTATGCTTGGTGATCAAATCGCCTTTACGAGACGCGATTACCGGGCCCCCTCGTTTGGAGAAAAAAAAAGAAGAGTACCATGCCTTGCTGTTGCTGGAGGTACTGCTGTTCACCCCGGGAATTTCTGTTCGCGGGCGGAACACGCGCTTGGTGCTAACGATGACCTGCTTGAGCAAATAAAATAAAATATGCACACAACATGGCTACCAAACTGTCTTGTTGACCCTGTTACCCGCGGGGGAGATGTCGCTGTGTGCTGCTCGGGAAATCGTGGCAATACAGGTAGCCTTCGCTGACGCTATGGATTCATTGTTAACATATCTTATAGGCTCTTTTCTTTAGATGGGAGATGTATTCGTTGGGTCGTACTACGAAAATAAAAAGAGAGACGTTTTTCATGAGGGACGACGCACGCGCCCAAGCTTGGGGCCTCGAGGTACAACCATGGCGCATCCTTTCACCAGGAGTTTCAGAAAACCGGTTCGAAATTACACTAGCTGGACGCCGCTCGCGATTTGGTGGTATCCTACATATGCATACAAATGGCTATATGATTCGCTGGCTGAAGGGCTCCGATCCAGGGCCCCAAGCGTAAGACTTCCTTCGCATCACAGGCCGTATAACGTTATTGACGCGAGCAGGTTCCAGCCGTCCTCTCCCTCAAGCATCTAAATTACACTCACGACGTAAATATTCGGGGGAAGGACAAGCAAAACGGAGTTTTTTCCATGGAAGAATCATCTCCACCAAAATACGGCGGCGCAAAGGCAAACTATCTGAGGTACGTAGCAACCACACACAAGGGAAGCTCAAGCTCACACATCCACGACCGACCCCGTCGAGCAGTGTGCGGTGCGGAGGATTGCCTTTGATAGTCGGGCATCCTGGAGAAACATGATCCCTTATGAGACGATTGAGAGGGACAACCATAGTATTTTTGAAAGGTCCAAAGAGCTTTTGTGTCACGGACGATTCAAGGTTAAGTTTACCATGCGGGAGAGGCAGGTGTGCTGCTGTTTGTGCCGTCTCCCTCGCAACATACAATGTCATGGTAGTTGTTATTACACCAACCATCAACCATCAAACCCGACAAATTCCAACCTTGTCTCCTCTTGGTGCCAGCAAGAGGTTCAGTCTACCCCACCTATTCCATTTTGAGCACCGGTAGACACACACCGCATTGAGAGGAGGGGCACGCTTCAACTGACGGTTGTCTACTTGGCTGGTGGAACGACCAAAAACGGCGACAGAAAAACGCAAGACGCCAGGAAAACACGGAACTTCTTCTTGAACCCGCGGTTTGGAATCCCACCGCCACAACGAAAGCTTCAAGACTTCCACCAAGAAGCAGCGATTTTTCCTCAGGAAACACGGGGGGGGGGGAGGTTAGCTTCCCCCTCGCTACACTACACCAACAGCCCTCACCAGGTTCTGAGCCCACCCCGCGTACGAACTTGGGGGGAGACGAAAATATTCAAAACTACAGCAGTAGTACCTTCCAAGGGTTGATGTGCAAACAAACAGCAGAGCAGAGGTTCGTGTCTTCTACAATGTTACGTACATGCGGCAACAGCAGCAGGCATGTTGAGTTTTTGTTACCCACCTCGTACACCACTCCGGCCGCCCCTCCCCCGAGGAAGCTGCCGAGCTCGTAGCTGGGCTTCCCGTTTATGGTAATGGTTTGCCCGTCAAAGCTCTCCACCTTCCGATACAGGGATTTCATCCTGGCAGCAGCCGCTGTCGGCCCGTTCTTCGGGAAAAAAAGGGACTCCGGCTGCTTCCGATTGCGAAAAAATACCAGAAAAATACGTCGCGCTGTCCGCGATGGTGAGCGCCGACTCCGGCCTCCTGGCGCAAGCAAAACGGTCCCTCCTTCCACGGAACGCACCGACACCCCACTGCGAAGCCTTCGGTGGTTCTGTGGGTAAGGGAGAGACGCCGCACGCCGGTGCGGCGTGGTGTGGTGTGGGACGGCGTGGTGTGGTGTGGGACGGCGTGGTGTGGTGTGGGACAGCACATTTGCAAGTGCGTCGCGGGGTAAAACGTCTGTAAGGAGGGGTGTATGTTACGGCAGCAGCTCTTGCTGGACGATCATCCCATCTCCCTCTTTCAAAAATACACATGCGACTAGACTAGTGCCTTCGACGCGCACGCGTTACAGGTTACGTGTAGGGTGCGGCATGATTTTCCTCGGCGACAGCCGCACGAGCTAGAGAGAGCTCGACGACGACAAGGCCACGTGGGAAAGGCAAGGTGGCAAGGCACCAAAGACCGAACGTGCGTCTTCGTATTCTAGTTGGAGGTGTGTGTGCAGCAAGCAGATTCGTTCGCGGCCAAAGCATCAAGACGCTCCCGCCCCACACCCTTACCTCAGACGGTTCCTGGAGATCCCCAACCGTAGACCCGAGTCGTGGTAAACTTGGACGGGAGAGGAGGGCCCGGCCGTGCAGGAGCAAGCTATCTAGCTATTGTTATTTAGTTTGTTCGCAAGCAACGAATTGTTGCTGGGGCTCCGAGGGGCGGCTCCGCCGATTCGTTCACCCCCCCCTTCTGTCGGTCCCTACCCCACGGCCTAGAAAAAGCGGCGGAATCAATGATAAAATCGGTTCAGCGATCGTCTATTATTTGCACTTGGACACTTGGGCGGGTGTGAGCCCCACGCCTTACACCCTGGTCCCGCACGACTACGCGAGGGTGGATGATACCCATCCTCGACCCTAGTATGGTGCCTAGGACTGGAAAATATCTGCGGTACTGGGGTGAAGTAATGGCTCACAGAGCGACGGTTGGATCATGGTGCCCGCCGCCGAATCAACCAATGCAGCGCACGGCGGGAGCGAGCTACACTGCTGTAGCTACATCCATCCATTGTTGTCCTCCGGCAGCCGTGGCTGCGAATTTCGGTCCGTGAACGGCAGTAAGAGTGGGGTAATCCTCCACAACAAGCTAGAGCAACAAGCTCTGCATGAAATCTTTGCTGGTGTGACACATATCTTTTGGGCCGGAAGATGATTGATACTGACTGATTGATTGATCGTTCGGTCGGTCGGTCGGGTAAAAATTACCACGCACGCACATAACCTGCATGTATGTTGTCCCATGCCCATCCACACAACACCCGCGCGTATAGGGCCAAAGTTCCGGCGTGTAGTGGCGTGCGTGTGAGGATGCCAGGATTGCGTGTATGTATTCCAAGCCACGCTGCTAACACATGCATGCGTTTCACCAAGTTTTACACAAAAAAACATCACGTCGATGGTTCCGCAACATCCTGCTTGTACAGCAGTCACTCCGTCTTTCGTTGTTGTTGTTGCTGCTGTTCCGTCACCGGCTCCGCGAGGCCAGCAACAAGAGTGCACGGCAACCATAGATCTATCTAGACCATACAGACTTTGAATATTTTCTCCGAGTAGCAAAAAATAAACAAGCCGCGCCGCAAAGCGCCAACCACACGACGACTTCCTTCCGCTCCTCCAACTCGGTACACCCTCAAATTGTTTCGGTGCGAAAGTGGGCTTGTCGGTGATGCCACGGCCTGGGTACGTACCCCATTTGTATCTTAGATCCAAGTCGCCTTAATAGATTCGAGCCCTCAAGGACACCGTTGTATCGTTTGGCGTGAGCGCGTGTCACTTGGAGCTATCAAGAACTCTCGGCCCCGGGGGGTTTACAGAGAGCTCTTTCGCTTTCCGGTAGATCGTCGAAAAGTGCTGCGGTAGAGGGCAGGCTGCTCCAGCACCAAACGTTCATCGGATTGGATGAAATAAAGTCTGTCGTTCCGTTCTGGCGGATCCAAAAAGGTGTATATGCCTACCGCACGTCACGTGTGTTGCTGTAGCCACAAAGTTTCTCCGTCTCCTTACTGATGCGACTTTGTCGGTCATTTCTTGCTGCTACCGGCGACTCGCCCACGCCCACCCTCCGCAGCGCCGGTATGTTGTGTGTGCCGCGTGCTTCCCGTGCGCCGCCGCCTTCCCGGCCCCCTCCGCGAAAACACCGAGATGGAACTAACGCCAGCCGAAAGCTGCCAGATTCAACCACACCACGCCCTTGCAGTTTCATACATTAGGCGCGTGCTTTGTACTTTTTTCTCATGTTTTGTTCGCAACTGGCGAATGATTGGAGGTGGGAATGTTGTTGGTTGTTCTGTTCGACAGTTGGCAACGGGCGGGTCGAAATCGAAGAGGCTCCGTCCATCCCCCGCCGGCCTTTCCGCGCAGCCCCTGACTCCAGGGGTAAAGGCGACCCACCTCATCACTCCCGCACACCGCAACACCATCCGCTAGATTCCTGCTCGCCCGCGGCCATCGTCGCCAGCCTCCGCATCGTCAGCGCTTCCGTGAGTCTCCCCCCCTTGAGGCAGGGCTTGTTCACCCCACTAGAGCTGCAGCACCCGTGGAATTAGCATCAGCAGCGCTGCACGCGAGGGGCTAACATGCAGGTGAGAAAGTAGGCTTCCCTTTTTTCAGAGAAAATCTGCCTTTGTCGGTCGGACCGTCGGACGAGCCTATAGAGGTTATTATGATACCGATTTTTTTATCAACATGACACAGGGTGATTTTTTCCCAAGGTAGGCGACCACACCAGACCTGCCGAGCTTTAACTCGCCTGCCCTATACTACAATCGTGGCTGGTGCCCGGCACATGACCATACCTTTTTGTATGTTGACGTTTTTTAGTGTGGTGATCAAAAGTGCGCCGAGGGCTAAATGAAGAACGTTGCCCTCATCGAATCCAAATGTTTGGCGGACGCAAATGAACTTAATGCTCGGCTTGCTCTCCCCCTCTGCCAGGGAAATCATTAAATGCACTATTGTGGTGAAAACATCCCCCTTTCCATCCTCACGCCCCCAGCCGTCGCGGTGTACACGGTGCTGAAGTCGGCATCCCCAAACCCCGACGAAACAAAAACGTAACCTTTTTACGTCCACGTACGACGCCCGCTCTTCCATAATCTAGAACTTGTAGGCACAACCTCCTTTTCGCTACAATACCTCAGTATTTCCCCCCGCTGCTCCGCCGCCGTTTGTTTACAAAATCGTACATTAATATGCATTCAACCAATCTCCTCGGTTATTTTTTTTCGCCCACTGGCACGCACGACAGGGCGCATCGGCGAGTGGCGCCATCACGTGTACCGTCTGCGGTGTGCGAAAGCCTGCCTCGGAGTACTCTCGCAACCAGCTGGCCAGGTCCTCGAGGGAGGTGTGCCAGGTGTGCCTCATGAGCGATGGGACGGTCGCGGCGCCCCCTTCTCGGGTGGCGCCCGCCGCGGGCGAGGGCGTAGTCCGCTGCGTTGCTTGCTGCCAAGTGAAGACTACCTCATCGTTTGGCATCAATCAGCTCCGCCGCCGCGCCGGCATCGAGCGCTGCATGCTCTGCGTGGAGAAGGACCTAGGGTCGGTGGTGCTCTGCCGCGCTTGCAACACGCACAAGCCCTTCACGGACTTCAGCAAGAAGCAGCTGGCGTGCAAGCCCGGCTCGGAGAGGTGCAAGGTTTGCATCGAGAACGCGTCTCGGTGATGGGACCGCGGCGGTCGGCGGCAGGAGTGACGAAAGGCCCAAAAGAGAAGAGAGGTGGGGGCTATTGTGATACGAAGGGTGCAGCCGGTGAGAGAGAACGTTGGCGGAAACAGGTGTTCGTAGCCGTGAGCGACTCGGCTCCTCGACTGCTCGGACAGAGGAGGCTGCGAAGCCGACTTACTCTATCTAGACGTTTGGATCCCTTGTGGGGGGGAAGACTTTGGATCGAATGGAGTGTGAGAGGAAGTACGGCAACATGGAATGTATGCTTGCGCCGAACCCTTCGTGCTGCCGCCGGGCATACGTTCGTGTGACCTTCTGTGCGTCGTTCGGCCCCCATCTTCGTGGTGGAAATGGGAAAGAGAATGAGAGAGGGAGGGAGGGAGGGATGCCATACGATTGCGACGACAGACAAGGAGAATAGATGAGAGAAAGACGGGTGGAGGAGATACAGAGACAAAGAAGGAGAGAGAGAGGCGGGTAGGGACAGAGACAGAGACTAAGACATAGCGAGAGAGAGAGAGAGAGAGAGAGTCAAACAAAAATGAAACGGACAGACCGGGGTTGGATGGTGGAGCTTCACCCGAAGTTTCCATGACCAAATTTCAGATATAACAATTACTGACGAGCTTTTTATTTAGATAATTTGGTACTTATTATTCTGCTGGAGCCTCGTCGCAGGATGGTTGGGACGGGGGGCAGCATCAAAAATACTGATTTTACCATTCGTTCGGTAGGCGGGAGGTTGGGACGTGTCTAGGGTGTCCAGCGACCCAAATGCTTCTCATTTTATATTCGTATCTAAGTTATAGATGCGTTGTTCCGAAAGACATGTGCGTGGAGTAGTACGACGTTGGATATAGTGTGTGTTTCGGGTTCTGAGCAAATGTAGACTACTCCCAGTGGAGAGAAGCTTTTGTTTTTCGTGTGTCGCGCCTATCGACGAAAGGATTGGGCCAGTCCGCGTAGAGATTTTAACAGCGAATTTTGCGCGGCTGGATGGAGGGAGTGCGATTGGCTCTGTGTTGTGCTGCTGTATAGGGTGAGCGAAGAACATGCCAGCGTGTACGGCGTGTGTCTCACTTGTTGTTGTTCCACGAAATGCATTTTATATCGGCGGGGTGTTGGTCGTGGTTGTGGTTAAAGTCAGCTCAGCAAATATTTTTACGCCGTCGGCTGTCGGCACCCATGTGGCATTACGTATTTAGCCGAGTTTAATGCGCTTGAGGCACATGGGGGGGGTGGGGTGGCGGACAGCAGTGGAGGATTATCGGTTGAGGGGGGGGGAGGCGTCTCAAGCGTGGCGCATCTATCCTAGAGAAGGTAGAGGGGCTCCCATTGGTCAGCATTCGTGCATGACGCAGCGGAGGAACATTGCTCTGGGCTGGTCGGTGCATCGGTTCGAACCGTGGTCGCTGTAAACGGAGGTGGTAATGATTTTTCTCCAGTTTTAGGTGATAACGTTTTTCTTCATAGCTTTACGTCAGAAATAATTTTCAACGGGGGGAGGGCGGGCGGTCTGAGCTGCGCCAGAGAGAGGCGTGTCGATTGCGGTGGCGCCATCCACGGAACGTTCCATGGAACGTTCCCGTGGGACATGCCTAACCCGTGGGAGCGGCAGTGGTGAGGTGGGGGCGGGGGCGGTGCATGGTGAAAGCAAAGGGAATGACGGGCAATTAATTGTCGTTTTCTTCGTAGGCCTAGCTAGCCACATACGAGACGTTCTGTGCATGGTCGACGTTTCCCGTGTGGGTGGGCGGGCCCGTCATTACTTTACGGTTGACTTCCCCATTTTTTGTATAGAATGGAAGATGTGGGTGGGCTCAGGTGTCCCCCGCCTGGCGTTTGGGTCTGATTGTTTGGTCGATATTTACACAGAACGCCTTGTGCAAGGCAGGAGGGGCTTATTCTGTGATGGGGGGGTTGACATGGTGGGGGTGGTAGGGTCCTTGTCACCTTTAAGGCGAGGTGGGTGTGCTGCTGTGTGTTGGGTGTTTGATCGTGAGAGTTGCCAGCGGTTCCGCTTTTGTTGATCGAAAGCGGGACACGGGCGGGTGTGTGCCGACACGCTAAGGGTCTGGTTTGTGTAAAAGTTGCACCCAGGGAACGCCTTGTGCAGGAGCTGGAGGGTAACCGGGTGGGGGTTTAGCCTTGATCGATGTCTTCATGTCGAGTGGTGCCAGTGGTGTGGAGTGGGCGTGTTTCTTTGTGGGGGAGGGTGGTTGGGTGGCATTTTCGAGTGCAAGTAATATATCAACAAATTCATGCATTGTTGGACGCGCATGGAAGGAAGACGTCTATTTACCAAAACACTTGAAAGTGTTGCAGTTTCACGTCTCTGAGCCAAGGCCAGAAGGCTGCTCGCGTGTTCGGCGCTGGGCATCCGCACACATCGGATAGTGAGCGGACGATGCGCATTTATGACGGGCGCAATTGCTTGGCGTGTGTCCTCAACTGGCCAACTCTAAAAAACATACGTCGGGTGCATGTCGTGAACCTGAAGCCACGGCATGCACAGATGCTCCAGAAATCCCCGAGCCTTCCTTCCTCAGACGAGCATAAATAATGTGCTCTGCGTTGTGGGCACGATGGCGACGGGGCCAGAATTGTGCTGTTCGCAACCCTTACTTGTAGCTCTGTCTTTAACTTCACCTCCCCCTGAAATTCTAGGACACACGGTACGGGGGTAAGCTAAGGCATTTTTTTGGCGGAGGAAGAGAATCTATTTTGGGACCGTGGACCAATTTCCCGGGAGGAACAAAGTCGAATTGTATTTCAATTCCCAGCGCGCACGGAGCTTTGTTCGCGTTGCGCCTTCTCTCCCTCGCCCTTTGTGCACTAAAAAATAGCAAGAGACAAGAATAACCTTGCTTGCTACCTTCCCACGCTCAAAGCTGTATCGTAGTCTGAATGATGTTTTTGCAATAGTCCCAAGGACCCTCCTCTCTTGTATTTTTTTGGAGAGGGGAAATTGTTCGCTGACTGCTCCGTCGCCGGACCCGACAGAAAAACACGAAGCGCTTTGAGCGCGCTGCAGTGTTGGGGCAGGCAAATTCGGCGAATAAGCGTGAAACAGAAGCTCGTTGATTCCTGCTACCCACTAGACCATAGCTGCACGTCAATTCACGCCTGTAGTAGCACTTCGTACAACAACTCTAGCATTCATCAGACATCCCTCTGAAGTCTCGAACTCATCTCCTTGGTCGGTGCCACCGCCTACGGTATTGATCACTTCGACGAGCCAATCCTTGAGAAAATTTCTCCCAGAAAATATTCCTGCCATGTTGGCCCCCACCCCTCCCCGGCAGCACCCTCTTCCGTCGTCACAAGCTTGACGAATGGGACACCGCTTGGGCAACTCAGGCGATACGCGCCCACCACCTGTCAACGCTTGCCGCCCGCGGTGTTGTTGTCGTCGACTGCATAGTATCTAACGTTAGATACGTGCATTCACGTACAAGACTGGAGCTGTGTATCTACTGTACGGTATGTAATGCTCTTGACGTACACTTTGTTTGGCGTCCGGGTAACTATGCATATGATAGTGAGGCCTGTGTATGGCGATGCACGATGTATGGGTGTGAGCTGTAGTCCACGTTCATACCGGGGGCTCGTTTTTCTCGGTTGTAGGAACCGGGCAACGTTGGCGTGAAAGAAGCTGCGGAGGTGTAGATAGAGTAGAACCTCCTGCGGTCGGAAGGCCCCTACATAATCCGCCTCGTTCTCACATACATGTGATACTATGGCGAGACAGGTCTATCCAGTGAGCCCTTCCAGTAGAAAGTTGAAGCCAAGGGCCGCAGGAAGAAAGGGAGAGAATTCAACCGGTGTGACCCCGGTTGGTATGTCAAAAACATGTAAAGAGAGTAAGCATATAGTCTATCTATGCAGGCCGGCGCGCAGAATAGACGGGACACTAAAAATGAAACAAGTAGTCTCGGGGAGGAAACTCACTGCAGCGCTGTGGACGTCCACAGCACCACGCTGTTTTATTGTAGTAGTCCCAGCGCTGGCATTGTGCTTTGCATGGACCTTTACTTGCTTGTCGTCGGCGTTGACGCTATTCTTCTTGTGCTTGCAATGAAGAAAGGCTGTCGGTCCTTTACACATCAAACATTCACTGTCGTCTGTCGTCTGTGATGCTCGCGCGGAGTCATGCAGGATATTCGGGGCAAAGAGTAACCATCCACTGCAATAATTGATCGCAGTTGCAGCAGGTGCGTGTGACGCGCCTGGTTCCTAACTTCCGTCTGGAAAAACTGCCTCCTGCAGCATGTATGTATGTCGGAAAATACCTGATATCGGCACCAGACAGTTTCCAGGCCACCAGTATGCGAGGCACCAAGCAAGGAAACGAAAAAGAAAATGTACTGCAACCGACGAACATGACGCTCACAGGGACTGTAAGTAAGTAAGATAGGCGAAACATGCTGGGAGACAGATAGACGTGATCGAATATAAACTCTCTAAAGCTCAATCACGCCGCACGCAGACACTCCAAATCACCAGCCCAAAACCGTGTCGTGTATGAAACGTTCCGTGCTCCGTGATGCCTGCCATAGGGTGCAACTTAAACAGGAGAGACATTTATTTGGTCATCGATCGGTTGCTCTTTATGTACCGGATTGTCTGACACGCACATATACAAACATGATTGGAGAATATTCTTCTGTAGTACAGTGGATGTGCTCTATTATTTCTTCTCCTGCATCACACCTGCTGGTCTCGGACGGCTCGACTTCGCATCTCGTAGTCCCATTCGCGGATAGCTGCGGCGTAAGCCAGGTTAGAAAAATACACGTGCGTTCCCCCCCGCCCTGCACCCGCCCAAGTGCTAGAAAATAATATCCAGATGCTGCCGCGCGTTTTTTCGTCGGTCCACTAGGAAACGTTGACGTGCAGGGAGGGTCTGTACTTTCAAGAACGGAAACAAGAGCAACCCGGAGCGTGTGAGACGAAAGAAGGGTAGACGGACAGACGTACTAGGGGAGGAGTAGAGTCCACCAAATCGGCTGTTCCGTGGAACAGAAGAGGGCCGGTCACGATAGTACAGTAGTAGGAGAGGGTTGCGAACACCAGAAATAATAGTAGGTTCACGATGCACATGGGTGGACCGGGAGCAACCTTGCCTGTCCATGAGAGGAACAGCGAAGCCGTGGAATCGAGGGTTGGATGCAGCAAGGACGTCATCGAAGGGCACAGACAAATGAGGCCAGTCACCGCTTTTGTTGCACACGGCCGCGTGCAAGAAAATGAACACGACCAGAAATTCACATCTTGCGAGTTCGTCCACGTCGTCTGTCTACAGGCAGTAGTGCGGCGAGGGGGGGGGGCATCCATATTATTTGATCGTGCTCAGTTGTGGGGGGATGTCAGGGGGGGGGGGGGGGGTTTTTCCCCCCCCAAACTTCCCCCCAAAAGGCCCCCAACTTTTTTTTTAAAAACAACAAAACCCCCAAAAAAAACCAGGGAAGTACCAAAGGAAATTTGGTCCGAAAAAAAAAAAAAATTTACCCCTTTCAAAAACCACCAACAAAATAAACCCCCCCCCCCCCCCCAACTGTAAAAAAAACCCACCGGTTTTTTACCCTTAAAACCCAAAACCAACTTTCGGAAACCCCCCAACCCACCCCCCTTCCCCGGAAAAAAAGCCCCCCCTTGGCCACCAAAAAAAAAACCCCCCCCCCGGGCAAGAAATTTTAGGGCCCCCCAAGAAAGGGGAAAAAAAACAAGAAAACCCAAACCGTCCCGGGGGGAA